CCCTAGTTAAAAAAAAAAAAAAAAAAAAAAGAAAAGAATTTAGCCCTCAGCATAATCCTGGGTTACTGACTATTGCTATCCTCTTCTGCTAGGCACAGGGTGCAGGGACTACAGGGTCAGCCCTTTTCCCAAGGACCCATAGCTGCTTAGGGGCACAGAAAGGATATGAGCCCTCAACAGAGACTTCAGCGCCAAGTAACCCTGAGAGCCCTGCATAGCGCTCTACATGAGATGCAGCCACTCCAGGTTTTGTTCAGGAAATGAAAAAATAGCTGTAGCCGGGCGTGGTCGCACGCATCTGTCATCCTAGCACTCGGAAAGCTGAGGCAGGAAGGTCGCTGTGAGTTCGAGGCCAGCCTGGGCCACATACATAATGAGTTCAAGGCCAGCGTGAACTACACAGGGAGACCCTGTCTCAGAAAAAAACGAAACAAAACAGAATTGTCTACTTGATGACAGTACAGCTGGGCTCAAGGACAAACAGGTAGCTGGGCCTAGAGGGAAGAGGGAGAACAGCCCTGATATATCAAGTACGTCACTTACTTCAAGGGTGAGGGATTGTGCTAAGTGGTGTTTTTTTTGTTTTTGTTTTCCCCCTTTTCTTTTCTTTTCTTTTTGAGTCAAGGCCTTACTATGTAGTTTTGACTGGCCTTAAACTCAGTACGTAACTCAGGCTTCAACTTCAGCCCATCCTCCTGTCTTGGCCTCCCTACCTTAGGCCAGAGGGTAGACTGTTTTTCTTGAATACAATTTTGACCTACAAATTCACACACATACTGGCACATATACTGTATCGTGAGTCAGTTTTTGCTGCAGGTGCTTGGAGAGAGGGAGCCTGGGGCCTTGTGCACTCTCAGCAAGCACTCTGTCACTAAGCCAACCCCAGCCCTGAACGTCTGTGCTATACCTGAGGAAGAAGAGGAGGAGGAAGAGGATGAAGAGGAGGAGGAGGAGGAGGAGGAGGACTTGTCTCTCTTATACAGCTCTTGGGAAAGCAGCCCCGCCTTCCTGTCTTGCTGGTGGAGGTCCGTCTCTTCATCTGGGAGGCACACAGCAAGGGGAGAGTGTCCCCGCCCATCCCCCTAGGACACCAGCACTCCAGGGCTCTGTGTGGACCCATGGGAGGTGTGGGAGGTCCCGGCTTTCTAGGAAGCATTCAGCGGGACTCCTCCGAATATGGAGCCTAGGAAGGGACTTCGAAGCTCCCTGCCCGGTCCAGAGACCACCAGACAGGCAGCTGGGAGCTGACCAGGAGCCTTCTAGCACTCCACCCTGGGACCACCAGGACCCTGCCCATCTCTGGAGGACCCTCCCCAGGGCTGCCCACCCCCTGCCCTCCCGCTGCCAGGAGATGTGGAGAGCACCTGAGGTCCTCTCAGCAAGGGGCAGCCCATGGTGCACCTGGGAAAAGTCTCAATTTCCCGGGGTGCCCCATGAGCTCAGCTGGGTTCACATTAGTTCAACGTCAGCCCCACATTAGTGCCCCCCCAGATCCTCTGTCCAGAAACAGAGCAGGTGAACATACAGGGTGGATCTTCTGCTTCTCTGTGGACAAGACTGCTATCTTGAGACTGGGAGGAGGTCCCTGAAGTCTCCATGGCGTTCCCTGGAGAAATAACAACAAATAATTACTTTCACTTCCGTTAATATCCTTACTATATAAGGAGTTTGACAAATAAATAAGAAAAAGAAGCCCAGCACGGTGGCACACACCTGTAATCCTAGCATATGGGAGGCTGAGGCAGGAGGATCACCATGAGTTTGAGGCCAGCTTGGGCTACATATTGAGCTCAAGCCCAGCCTAAACTACACAGTGAAAACTTGTCTCAAAAAAAATGAATGAACGAATGAATGAATGAATTGGCCTGGACATGAAGGAGAACTGGTCAAGGGTCACCGCTATGGTCTGCATGTCGGGCAGCAGTATCAGGAGGAGGCGGTGGAAAGCCAGGGTGAGCTGGATTTCAGCGGGGGTGAGGCAGCCACAAAGGCTCATGGGAACAGACTCAGGTGTGTAATCTGCTTCTTAGCAAGGGCTCTGTCCACAGGCCCAGTGTGGTTCACGCGGACCCCAGTTCCTCCTCCCTGAAGATGACAGCTGTGTCCTGCACAGCAGGCCTGTGTCCAGCCCTCCGCAGCTGTACTGCCTGGACCTCAGTCTCCAGCTGCAGAGACAACTGGGTCCTTCCAGCTTGGACATCCCGGCACCCTGACCCTCCCTTCTAGTCAAAGCCTTTGAGGTTCATCTGTCCACCTGACAAAGAACTCTGTGACTCAGGAGTAACACGATTGTCAGTGAGGACCTATTTGGGACACTATCGGCAGGCCCCTGAAATGCTCCCTAAGTGGGGAGCGGATGTTTATATCAGTCTGGGAGTATGTGCAGTGTGCTTATACAGGAACAGCAGGTTCAAGGCTCTGACAAGGCCCACGGGAGGAACAGCACTCACTCCATCCCATCTCACCCTCCCCGGGCACATGGCCGGCAATGTCCAGCACAGGCATGGGAAATGCCATCAGGTGAGTGTCCCTGGCATTCCTGAGATCACTTCTCCTCCTGGCATCCAGGCCTGGGTACCCTCACTTCCCACTCTGGACAGTGCTGCCTTCCAGGGTTCAGTGTTTCTCGTCCCTCTCTCCATCGAGACAGCTGGGGATGCCGGCCGTGGTGGTGCCTGCCTGTAATCCTGGCACATGGGAGGCTGAGGCAGGAAGATCGCTGTGAGTTCAAGACCAGCCTGGGCTACATAGTGAGTTCCAGGTCAGTCTTCAACTACATAGTGAGACCCTGTCTCAAAAATCCAAAAAAAAAAAAAAAAAAAAAAAAAAAAAAAAAAAAAAGACAGAGCTGGGGAGGACACTGAAGCACACATGGACTTGGGGGACCCGGCATGGACAGGAACGATCTTTTTCCAGCTGTGGAACCCTGACGAGGGGCTGTGGAACCCTGACGAGGGGCTGTGTATCCTCAGGGACCGTCATACCTGTGTTACTGTCATGAGAACCCTGGAGCCATCACTGCCCTCCTTGACAGCCCCCTCTTAATGCATAAGACAGGGGTTAGGGTTGGGGTGCAGCTCAGTGATAAGCACTTGCCTGGTACCAGCAAGGCCCAGGACTCTATCCTCTGCACTGTGAGGACAAAACAAAAAGCTCAGCTGCTGTGGCTTGCCTCTAGATGTCCCCCCAAAGCCTCACACACTTACAGGTGGGGCTTTTCAGAGCTGGTTGGATCTAGGGCGCGAGCGCTGGGATCAAGGGTGTGTTGTACTAAATTAGTCCACTGGTTGGAATTAGCATGGCTCTGGGTGTGGAGAGTGGAAGCCCCACCCTGGATGTGAGTGGCACCAATCAGTTAGTTGATAGAATATAAAGGGAGAAAGGGAAGCAGACTACTACGGCTGCTTCACTGTCTCCTGGCTGCCCGCCCGCCGTGGACTGTTTCTCCTCTGTGATGTCCCTCTGCCACGCCACCCTGCCTTGGAGCCAGCCAATAATGGACTGAAACTTCTCCAAACTGGGAGCTGAAATAAACCTCTCCTCCTTAACGTTGAGTGTTGAGTATTTTGCCACAGCAATAAGAAAGGTATATGTACTACTGAAGGGAGCACGCCAGCAACAAGAAAAGGAAGACAACAACAAACAAAAACCAGGATGGTCACTCACAAGGGTTCTGGGGCTCCCATGGGGCTGTGAATAGGAAAACACAACGAGACATCACCCCATGGCCAGGACACACTCTCAGGCAGAGGGCGCGGCGCCCGATTCCCCGCCCAGCTCTGGGATATGGCACATCCCATTTTCTCTCTAAGCCTCAGTTTCCCCAGTTACAAGATAGGGACACTTTCTGTCCCAGGAATGCTCGAAAATAACAAGGACTCGGAGCCCCTGAGGTAGGAGTCATGGCTTTGTCCCTGGAATAGGGACGGAGCTTCATGAAAACAAAACACAGCGCCGTGCATCTGAGAGAATGGAGACAGAAGCCTCAGCATCCCTTCCCCGTTCATGCGCTTCTCCTTCCTCTCCACCCTCCCTGCCTGCCACGGGCCCTCATTATCCTTCTGCCCCTCCAATTTGAGGCTTCTTTCCTTCCCCAACTTGAGAGGATCACAACCAAGGTCCAGCCAGGTGTGGTAGACACACCTGTAATCTCAGTACTGGGGAGGAAGGCTGAGGCAGGAGGATCGCCAGGCCATCCGGGGCTAGATCCTGTCTCAAAAAACCAAACCAAATGAAGTGTACAAAAACTCCCTGAGGCCCAGAAAGGGCAGAGGACTTGCCCAAGGGCACACATTGAGGAGTACGAAGAAGAACACACATCTGAAGACAAAGTCCTTGTGAGAGGATCCTACTGTAGTTTGAATCTTGAGTGTCCCTAAAGCTCATGTCTTAGAGGCTTGGTACATTAGTGTGGTGCCATTGGGTAGTGATGCCTTTAAGAGGTGGGGCCTAGGAGGAAGTGAGGTCACTGTGGGCATGGCCTTGAGTGGAGTGGAGCAGAGTGGAGGCCCTGGTCTCTTTTTCCTTCTCTTTATTCCTAGCCCTTAGGCCGCAGGTTTTGCTCCTTGATGCGCTGCCTGACCACCACAGATAGCAATGGAGCTTCTGATCCTGGGCCAGAATCTCCAAAGCTGTGAGCCACAATGAACCTTTCCTTCTTGTACATGATACCCTCAGGCATTTCGCTGCAGTGACACAGAGGTAGAGAAGCAAAATGCCAGTTTCCACTCCCCGCCTTGTTTTGTTCCACGTCAGGTAGGAAGTTTAATGGGTGGATAACAGCTCACAGTGCGCAGCCAGCTGAGCACAAGCAAGGGAGACCCTGTGGTCACCATCGCCCATGATGCAGCCAGCACCTGGCACCAACCTTCAAGGGTCCAGGAGGGCACCTAGACCAAAACAAGGTGAAAAGGGACACATCAGGTGTGACACCCAGAAGCAGAGTCCACCATGAAGAAGACCTTCCCTCTGTCCCTCATATCCACTGGGATCCAGAGGATGTGGGAAATGGAGACTGTCCCCAGGCCTCCTCATGGCCACTGCCGAAAGAGGGGCCAAGGCCTGCTGAGCTGAGAGGAGAGGTTCAGGACCTTGTAGTGTCACCAAGGCAGCTACCAACTCAGTGTACAAATAATTTCCTAAAAGCAACAGCCTTGGTGTAGTCCTGAGCATGATGTGGTATAGGTGACAAACTCATGAGTGGCTGTGCTAGGGCACATGGCCTGAGCTCAGAATCTATCAGTTTCTCCGGCAATGGTCACCAATGTAAAGGAGGAAAAGGAGAGAACATTTATTTTTACATATTTTAAACTACAACCAGTAAACAATATAGAACTCAACCCTGCTGTGTCCCCCCCATCCCGTAGATCAGACGCTATATGTCACGTCCCCAAGTAGGGTCTCAGGAGGCCAGCATGGAGCCCAAGGGCAAACAAATGTATGTTGTCTTATCTCTGCCAACTACTGCTGTCTACTGTGGTGTAAATAGGAGGCTAGCTGGGGGATTTGAGGCTCAAACGACAGCTTTCACTGAATCAGTCCCCTTAGTGGGACAAGTAAACTCAAAGAGTCTCTGCAAAGAAGCCACAAAAAAAGATAACTCTAATCATGAGTGTGCAAATGAACAACAGGAAGAGGGAAGAACAGACCGGCCCCATTCCTAGTTCAAGTCCTGCGTTAGCCCTGTTACAGATGTGATCTCGCCCATGAAACAATAGCTCCCTGGGATAATCATAAGGATACTCCTCGACAGGTGGACTTCCATGCATGTCACAGTGATGAAACCCTCACTTAGAGATGGCTGGGCCTCGAGACATGAGCTGGTGGTGCAGCTTCCTGTGTACACAGAGGCTCCTCTGCTTGCAATAGGTTAGTAAGTTGAAGTCATCGTAAGTCACAAAGGCACTGAAAACACCTAACCTAGCCGGCATCACAGCTCAGCAACACAGCATGTTGCAGAGTCAGCCACGTCCTGTGAACCCCCCCAAAGGCACCCTGCTCCATGACCGCGGTTTGACTGCTGCCTGTCCTGCCCAGAGTCAGTCGTTTGAGAGGATGAGACTGCATACCCTACCTAACCCAGGAAGAGACCCAGACTCAAAAGCCAACACATGAGTTCTGCGGAATGCGTGTTGCTTTTGCACCATCATAAGGTTGGAAAATTGTAAATGGAATCGTCATTAAGCCAGGGACCACCTGAGATATATAAATCTATCCATGTTCGTGCTGGATATGCCCAAAGCATCTTTCTTTCCACAGCCCAGCTTCTTTCTCGAGAAGAGTGCACAATCACTGTTGTGGTTTAGTTCTAGAAGTCCCCCAATCCTCATGAGCTCATCGGTGGGGCTTTGGGGAGGTGACTGGACCATGGGCACGCTATACCCACAGGTGGACTAGTCCGTTGATGAGTTTATAGCTAAATGTGTCGTTGGGTGGTGAGGCCTGGCCAGAGGTGGTCCCTGGGGGTGTGGCCTGGAAGGGTATAGATTCCTCCCTGGCTCCTCCCTTCTCTCTCCACTTCCTTGCCACCATGAGGTGAGCGGCTTTCTTCCAGCAGAACCCCCATACCTGGAGCCAGGTGACCATACAAGGACTGAAACTTCAAATATGTGAGTCAAAATCAACCTCTCCTCCCTTAAGTGGCAAGTGTTAGGTATTTTGTCCCAGGGACAAGGAAGTGACTAAGATGATCACAAAGTTGGATGACAATTGCTCTGGATCCTTACAGCTTGCCAGAATATTAGTCCTGCTTTGGATTTTCTGGTCAAATCATAATTTGTCCAAGTTTAGGAACCAAGAAAGCTAGGAGGGCATGCATCCCCAACAAAACTTTTTTTGAGGCCTCATTGATAAATGTGAAGATTAATAGGGAAAAAGTTTTTTACAAAGCCACTGAAGGCTTTCCCTAGCTCTAATTGTCCAAGCTCGATAGAGTGACTGGTTAAGTACATGATAACCAGAGCCACATCAGTCTCCTCTCTCTTTTTCTCCAGTCTCTGTCTGTCTCTTCTACCCTTCTGTCTCAGTCTCTGTCTCTCACACACATGCACTCGCGCACGCACACCCACGTGCACGCACATGACCACAATAGAAACCAGAAAGGAAGCATCCAGTGTGACCGGCGTTCAGGCCTCCTGGCCCCCTCACTGGCCTCAGGAATTGACATCCACTCTCACAGCCTCAGAATCCTCACATGGGCAAACAGGCGCAGGTACACTTCAGCAGTGCACAAGGAATAACCCATTTCAGAATCGCCAAAGGCTTGAACAGATGTTCAGATGGTCAACAGCATCGTGGGGGGCACCATGTCGTTTGTCACTGAGGAACCACTTGACAGCCACCAGCATAGTCACGGTGAGGCAAACAGACAGCAGCAAGTGTGGATAGAGAAACCCAAGAAACTTTAGACTTTTCTGGGGGGACTGGAAAATGGTAGTTCCTCAAAATGTTAAACACAGAGCTCTATCAAGTGACTCTGTGACTTCAATCCTAGATATACGTGCAAGAGAGCTAAAAACAAACAACACATGGAGACTGGGACACGGGTGCCGTTTTATAGCAGCAGTAAGCAAAACAGTCAAAAGCAGAAGCAACCCAAATGCCCCCTCAAAAGGAGACACATGCTGAGTGGATAAACAAACTGTGATGTAACTGCATAACGCAGTGCTACCAGCAACGCAGTGGGAGTACTCTCACAACCACAGGGCAGACCTTGACAGTACCGTGCCAAAGAGAAGCCAGGACATAGGCCCAGCCCCAGCCTGGGAGACGAAGCCCTTGCGTGCTGCCAAGGGAGGAGACAGAGGAAGTAACTGCACTGATGATAAAAATGTTCTACTCAGACCAGGGTGATGGCTGAATGTACTGAAAACCACTGAACATACATCGTGAGAGGGTGAATTTGATGGCTTGCAAATCATATCTCAACAAAGCTATAGCCAGGGATTTAGTTCAGCGGCACCTGTCTCGCAGATGCCTGCCTTGCAAGTGCAAGGTCCTGAGTTCCATCCCCGGTATAAAAACAAAAACAAACCAAACAAACAAAACAGCTACTATATGGGGAGGCAAAAACATGAAGACCTCACACACAGGGCTGCTGTGAACACCTGCAGCACCTGGCCTGGTCCATGGGCACAGTGGTGCATTAGATCCCACGACTGCAGCCTCTGAATGTTTCTGGCACCGGCAGCCCAGTATTTCCAGAGTAACACCAGCCAGAGTTAGAGCCAGGGCCTTCTGAGCGCAGAGGGCATTGTTACTTACATAGCTGCTTGGTTAGAACCTACAACAAGCCAGGGCACGATTCCCTCCCATAAGCCTCTCAACACACACTCCTGACTCCCAGTGAGGGCTGTACACAATTCTGGAGTTTTGGTTTTGGTTTTGTTTCATTACTGCGGATGAGATCTAGGCCCTCTGCACTGAGAGACATCTCAGCCCTTTTTTCAATTTTAATTTTTTTGGTACCAGGGATCGAACTCGGGTCCTTGTGCTTGCAAGGCAGGCGGTGGAACCACTGAGCTAAATCCCTGGCTACTCGGTTTTTATTTTGAGACAGGGTCTTGCTGAGTTGCCCAAACTAGGCTCAAACTTGCAATCTCCTGCCTCTGCCTCCCAGAGCTCTGGGATTACAGGGGTGTGCCAGTTTCTGAATAAACAGAATAATCTTCTTATCCCCCGTAAAAGGAGACACATGCTGAGCCAGGCACGTGGTGCTCACCTGTAATCGTAGCAGTTTGGGAGGCTGATGTGGAAGGATACATGTTTGAGCACAGCCTGAGCAATTTAGTGAGACCCTGTCTGAAAAGAGCTGAAGATGCAGTCAGGGCAGAGGCCCTGGGTCCAATCGCCAGTTCCGTCAAAAATTTAAAAAGAAGGCTGGCTTGAGGACAGAGTCAAGATGCTGGGGGCAAAACCAGCCCCAGGATATGGACTGATGTCCTGGGATAGGGATGTCCCCGAGGGCTGAGTGAGCCCTGAGGGTCAGCCGGGCCACCCCTCCTAGGCCGCACCACCTGTATAAGATTGCGGCAGGGGCCCTTGCCCAAGGCCCAGCCTTTTTCAGCATTTTGTCCTCAGCGGGTGGTTCCCCCTGGTCCATCAGGCCCAGGCCCAGGGCAGTTTCCTCCCAAGAGGAAGGGTGGCTGCCAGGGCAGCAGAGGGTAAGACCTTTGGGGACAATCCTTGCCTTCCTATGCTGTTCCTTCTGGCAGCAGCAGAATGAGAAAGCCATTATCCGCCACTGGGGAAACTGAGGCCCAGTGAGGACAAGGGGCTTCTGAACACTCCGCACCAAGCTGGTAACACAGTTGGAAGCCGGACACCTGCCGGGTGGCAGTCTCAGAACAACCCCGGGACTGAGCATCTGTCATCCTCCCTGATTTCTCCTGAGAGAGAGGAGGCTCTCAGCACTAGGGAAGTGCAGGGCTGGGGCTCCAGCCACCCTTGAGAAGCAGCGGGTCAGCCTGGGGTCAGCCTGGGAGGACCTGACCCCATCCCATACCCCCCACCCCACCCCAGCCCACCGCCACTACCTGTGTGAAGAGCAAGGTGAGCAGCAAGGTGTGCAGCCAGCTGTGTGGCTGGGGCAGGCAGGCGGCAGGGAAGGAGGCAGGCGGCACCTGTGACAGCAGGAGGCGGGGCCATGACGTGGCCCTGGCCTCCTGCTCACCCGGGTGGCATTCCTTCCTGCCTACCATGATATCAGCCCCAGGCCTTCCTGTCTGACTGGACTCTTCCCCCAGCCCTGAGAGAGGCAGATGGGCAGTAACTCAGGAAGGAGGAGGTGGAGCGCACTGTCCGGGGTGCCCTCCATCCCAGTGGGGGTGATTCAGGCCCCTGTCATGTGTCCCAACTGGCCTCTCCGGTTGCTCCCCAGTCCTGAGGCTGAGGTTGGGCCCCAAGGAGGAGGAGACCAGGGGAGTCAGGGGCTTGGGGATCCTGTAAGTGGATACTGCACTGCCCTCTCTGGGGCAGAGGGAGCCAGGTCCCTTCCCTCTACTTGCTCCACCCTGAGGTTGTCCTCATCAGGGCGCTCCCTCCCATCCTCCCTCTGGGCCCTCTCAGAGTGGAGCCCAAGTTCTCCACACCAGGCCTGAGCCATCTGCCCCACACCCCTCCCTCTCCTGACCTCGGCTTCTAGGGCCTCCCCTCCCACTCTGCTGCAGCTATACTGGCCTGAGTCCCAGACACTCCTGCAGGCCCCACAGCCTTTGTAAGGCCTCTTCCCTGTCTCCCCCAAGAAAGCCATGCATCCCTGCTTCCCTTCCTTAGTCTGAATTCAAGCATTATCTTTTCTGAGGCTTTCCCTGACCCTACACAGTAGTGACCCCCAGCACTGCCCTTCCCTTTCTGTCACCACCTGACGTCATTCTGTCTGTTTCCTCTGTACTTATTTGTCCCATCCTCTGGGACCTAGGACAAGATAAACACATCACAAGAGCTCAATGGATTCTGCTGAATGAGTCCACTGAAAGGTTGGCCAAGGGGCTTCCAGGAGCAGGAGGTACCGCTCGCTGTGCTGAGTGTGTGCAAATCTTCCATGATTGCAAGGGAGAGTGGGAGCTGCAGAGATGGGAACTTGGGAGCCAGACCACAGGGCTACTAGGAGGATGTGGGCGACCAAGAATACATTTCATATAGGATCTGTGAGTTCATGGTGAGGGGCAGGCATCTGGGTGCCAGGGTCCATAGTCAGGGAGGTGGGGACTAGGGACAGGGGCAGGGGAAGCAGCCGCCAGTCATGTAAGGTCACGGGTCCCCTGAACTGTGGCCACACAGACCTGAGATATGTTATGAGCATGAGGTACATGTTGGATTTCAAAGACTTGGGTGGACCTGGAGTGCTGGTGCACACCTCTAGTCTCAGCACTTGGGAGGCTCAGGCAGGAACATCACTGTGAGTTCAAGACCAGCCTGGGCTGCATAGTGAATTCAAAGCCAGACTGAACTACATAGTGAGACCCTGTTTAAAAAAAAAAAAAAAAAAAGGAAGATTTGGATGGAAAATATATACACCTACATATATATATATATTTTTTTACATCATTAATATTTTCTACTAATCATCTGTTAAAATGATAATATTTTGGTGGTGCATGCCTGTAATCGCCACTATATAGGAGGCTGAAGCAGAAGGATCCCAAGTTCAAGGCCTGCCTGGGTCTCTCTTGGGGAGACCCTACCTCAAAATAAAAATAAAAATGCCTGGGGATGTAGCTCAGTGCAAGGCCCTGGGTTCAGTCCCCAGTGCTGCCAAAAAACAAGAAATGACAGATAACACTTTGGACATAATGGGTTAAATGAAACATGTATTATTAATACTTTCAGTTTTCATTGTAGACATGGAACTTTTTAAATCTGTGGTGGATGCAGACTTTCTAGGTAGCTCAGAATGTGTATCTGTTGGACAGTGCTGATTCAGAGAGCAGAGTGGACAGAGCTTGGTGGGTGATGGATTGTGGGGTCTCACCGTGTGCCTCCTCTCCCCTCCAACAGCTCCTTCCTAAAGAAAGCATCAGGCCAGAGGCCACAGGGACAGCATACAGTATCAGGTTCCAGCTCCAGACAAGTGCACACAACTCCTGTCAAGATAAGATCTAGAAACGAAGTTGGCTGATAGGACAGGCAATGAACTCTCCATCCCTAGAGGTATGCAAGGAACTTGAGGACTACCCTTATTTAGGAGAAAGGAGGTTGACTTCAACTATCTCAAAATGTGGTCCCAGAACAACAGCCTCAACACACCAGGAACCTATTTATTTATTTTGGTACCAGGGATCACACTTGGGCCCTTGTGCTTGTGAAGCAGGCAGAGGAGCCACTCAGCTAAATCTCTGGCCCAGGAGCCTTTTTAGAATGCAGGTTCACACTCCGATGGAGTCAGAAATCCAGGAGTGGTCTCTACATCAGTGGGGTTTTGTTTTGCTTTGTTTTTTGGTACCGGGGATCAAATGCAGAACTTTGCACTTGCCAGGAAGGCACTGTGCCACTGAGCTAAATCTCTGCCCCTCTACATTTGTGTTTTAATAAGCCCTGTCCTGCCATTCTGATGACAGCCCATGTGTGAGCGTAAACACTGAAAAATGCTTCCTACCATGTAAAGGCTTAAAAGCCTGGCACACTGTAGGTTTCCCATTCCCAATGTGAGGTGCCTCTCTCTCTGAGCCTCAGTCTCCCTCTCTGCTCCCCTGTGGCACCAGTGGTGTGTACCTGGGACGGGACGGAGACTCAACCCAGGGGCATTTCCTTCCTCTCCACTGAGGGCAGACGTCATGGAGGCTCGAGCCCAGCTCCAGCAAGAGCTACCTCCCTTGTGCACGCGTGACTCTTGGACAACCTCCCTCCACTGTGGACACAGGTGACACCCCCAGGTGCCAGCTCAGCAGCAGAGCTTGGCATCTGGCTTCCTCACATTCCAGAACTGCCAGCTGGGTGCCTGATTCAGCAGGCACGTGTGCCCTGCAACAACAGCTAGGCTGCATGGTCTCAGTTTCCCCATCAGTAACGATGAGACAGCAGCTGCGTCACAGCAGACTCTGAATACAGGCCCATCAGCACCCCTGGAGACTTCTTCCATGGCCTGTGCCCTGCAGGCATGGAAGTGATTAGTGGGAAAAATGTGACTCCCAACCTGCCAATTTCCAACCTGTCAGACACGCCTGAGTTGGTGCCCCCTGAAATTGAAGAATGAATTCCAAAGGACAAAGGAGGTTGAGAGCAGCAAAGGTTTATTGGGGCATAGGAATAGCTCCTAAGAGACAGGAGGGGTCCCAGAAATGGGGTGCCAACAAGCCTACTTCTCTGAAAATGTCTGCTAAGAGTAAAACCATAGGTGGGTACTGTAAAACTTGAATTACAATTGCCTGAATTTAAATGACAAAGGGCCTAGGAGATAGTGCTCTAACCCCCTCCCATTGTAGCCATAGCTCTGACCTTTGTTCAAACCTTGATTTAGGAATGTAAGGCAATCTTGTACTGTTTGAAGTCCGGATCCTGATGAAGTGTAAGTTGGTGGTTCTAGACTGTGAGATACATAAAGACCCCAAGTTAATTGTCGAACTGTTTGCTCATCCTAAATGTCTTGGTGGCCTTTGAACCATCCTATAGGTATCTGTTAATCATCAATGTGTGACTGCCGAGTACGTGACTGCGGACCACCAGCTCAGATCAGCAGACCTTTGTTCCCTGCCTACAAGCTTAGAATGTTAACCCCCCTTTTTACCCCCTATAAAAAGGACCTCAGCCCCTGAGCTGGCGCCTCTGTGAGCCAGCTACTTGGTTCTGAGAGTGCCGTCTGGCCAGACTAATAAAGGTCTGTTTACCATCTAGCCTGGTGTGTTCCTTCCTGGGTTACTCTCCTTCCTCCGTCGAGCTCCCGGAGCCTTGCTAGGTTTTAGGACCCAGCATCTTGGAGGCCTTTTTTGGCTGTTCACGTTCCGTGGAGTGGAAGTGAGACTTTTGAGTGTTACAGATACAATGTGGGTCAAGCTACGACCAACCCACAGGATTACAAACATAGTGGCTTTGGTAATGTTGATCCAACAGGGGCATGTAGCAAGGGTACATGAAAAGAACAAAGGCATGTTTAGGAAGAGATGGGTCCAGGGGTTCTGGTCACCCACCTAGGTGACTAATGACTATCTGAACTTTATTGGGCCAGGTGATACCAGTTATAGTATAATCTTCAAGTTACTGCCTATCCAGTGGGAGGCATGAAGGCCTGTTGATTCCATCTTTATCTTGAGGCCTGGCCTTTGACAGATGTGCCTCCAGCTACAGTTGTGATGACTTTTATTTTTTCTGCTGACTTCTTTGACAGCCCAGCCTCCTTCTGGTGGTATATTAATTTCTATCTAATTTAGCTGCCTATAACAGAGAGAGGAGGTTTGCCTGCTAGGAGTACCCCGGAGCTTGGTTCTTCACATGAGCTGGTGTCTGGGTGCCAGAAGGATGTCTGGGGACAGGGTTGCCTTTAATAATTGTATTAAACGAATTCTCTGAATCAGAGAGTACTGAATTCCTTTCACAGGAAGAAAGGTGAGACTCAGAAAGCTGAAGTGATCGACTCAGAGGCACAGGACTGGGAAGTGGTGGGGTCAGCATTCAGATTCACACCCGAGTCTCTCTGACTGGAGAACAGGACCCTCCCCATTCCTCCACGGGGGAACCCCAAGTCCACACACAGCCTTAGGTGCCACTGATATTCGCGTTTGAAGAATGAGCTTCTGGCCCATATTGAAATCTGTAAGTCTATGCCAGGAGGAGCCATGGCTGGAGCCAATGTTATCTGAGACAGAGATTTTATATATCATATATATGTAATAAGCATATAATATACATATTTATTTTAAACTTGTGGTGATCCTCCTGCCTCAGCCTCCTAAATGCCGGGATAACACGCACATGCCACCATGCCCAGCCATAATAGACTTGGACTAAGTCCGACTCACCCCCGGATCTGGGCCTCAGCTATCTCATTTGTAAAGCAGCATGAGGAAAACCTGTCTTGGCTGAGGGCAAAAAGCTGCTCCTTACCATCCTGAGAGGATTTAGCGTTACATTTTTAAAAAGAGGGGCTGGGGAAAATCTTATCTCATTCTGTCAAGCACAAAAGGTAGGCTTTAGATTCAACAGAACTTCCTTTTTTTAAAAAAGGCAGAAAAATCCTTTAGACAAATAATATTTCAGACAGCGCATCCAAGCAGATCCAAGCTCCTGGTCTTCTACAGAAACGGGACCGTGGAGACAGCAGCCCCTTGCACTCAGGATCTGTCCCAGCATTCACTCTGCAGACTCAGAGCCATTGCGTGCACAGACAGCTCGCTCCTTTCCAGCACAC